GTTCAGATTTTTTCTAAGTTGCTGAAGATGGCTGTTTTTTAAAGACAAGGAAATACCAAGGATATGGTGCTGTGTATCATTCCACCCATCAGAGAAGAAGCAGTCAGAGGCATCCCTATATCTGTGAGAAGTTACTTGTGTATTGACTAGAGAGATTTTGTAGCCAATATGGGTGAAATAATTTAAAATCAAGTTTGGGGGATCCCCAATTACACAGATTAAAGGAAAGCAAGACAACATGAAAGAAATCCCAGCTAATTAATAAATCACTTTTACTCTTCTGCTCAGAATTCCAGTTAAGTAGAGAGTGCTGGGCACATGGGCTGTGGTTGACCTCAGAGGGAGCACAGGGCAACTGAGGGTCCCAGAAACGGGCGGTGGGATTCTGGCTGCAGCCTTTCTTGGCAGAACTACCTGAGCACAGCCCCTGGGGGAGGCTGCCCACGTAGTTTCCTTGAGGAGTTTACGAGAGGAGGGGCCTTAAAAGAAACCAACCCTGCTGACACCTTGACCTTGGGCTTCTAGCTTCCAGAACCATGCGAAATAAATCTCTGTTCATTAAGCTACCCAGCCTGTGGTATTTGGTTATGACAGCCTTAGCAAACTAATGCAAGGGGCTTCTCAGATTCTGATAATGTTTTGATTTTTCAGCTGAGTGATAGGTACTCTAAAATAATTATTTTTTTAAATTGTAGTGGGGAGGGACGCCTGGGTGGCTCAGTGGGTTAAGCTGCTGCCTTCGGCTCAGGTCATGATCTCGGGATCCTGGGATCGAGTCCCGCATCGGGCTCTCTGCTCAGTGGGGAGCCTGCTTCCCCCTCTCTCTCTCTCTGCCTGTCTCTGTCTACTGTGATCTCTCTCTGTCAAATAAATAAAATAAAATCTTTAAAAAAAAAAATTGTAGTGGGGAGCCTGGGTGGCTCAGTCAGTTAACCATCCAGCTTTTGATTTCAGCTCAGGTCATAACCTCAAGGTCATGAGATTGAGCCCCGTGTCATCAGGCTCTGCGTTCAGCAAGGAGTTGGCTTGAGATTCTCTCTCTTTCTCCCTTGGCCCTTCCCTCCCATCATAAATAAAATAAATATTAGAAAAAATTAAAATTAAAATTGTAGTGATACATTTTGGACACTCTTTTTGGGGTTTACTTTCCCCAGTGAAAAAGGTGGAATTAGAGTAGCGCCAAAACATTTCCGGCCTATTCATAGCATTGAATTGACTAAGCAAATACAGTTCTTTAGGCACTCAATAAAAGACACAGTTCCATTTAGGTAATCGGCATATCATGTTTAAGAAAAGGAATGCTATATTTAACCAGCACTAGTTTATTATCTTCGATGTATAAAAATCAGAAGAAAATGGAATGAATACATGCATTTAAACTGAGCAATCTAATGTAATTAGTGGTTTTGAATGAAAATAGCTCTCTGTTCTTTTTCCCCATTGATTTCTCCTGTACCATTAAATCCCAACTAAAATATACAGATAAGATCTTTTTTTTTTTTTTTTTTTGCCTCCCTAGGGAAAAATGTATTCGTTTGAAAGATGTTGACTTTGGAATATTATAACAGGTCCTGGAGGGACTTCCTGTGGAATTAGCACAAAAGGTCATGTTCTGACTAGCTGAACTGCGGGCGAGAGGTACCGCAAATATTTTATCTTTTTTCACAAATATAATTGCCAGGATTCATCTTTAAAATGTGATACATGTTTCAGTATTTCAGGCAAAGACAATTTGTAATTAAAGGAAGTTATTTACACACACACATATATAAAACACATTCAAATATGCATACATGTACGTACATTGGGCACATCTTGACAAAATATCGAGACATTTATTCTAATATTTTATTGGAAACTTAATAATCAATTTTTCTAAGAAATCATGGATAACTACAAGTTGCAAACCCTGGAGAGAATAGTCTATGTGTATTTGTAATTAAATCTCAGTGTCAGAAAATATAAGCAAATGTGGGCAAAAGTCCTCATGACAGACTTGATAGCAAATCCAGGACTTATAAGCACTTCTATGCACTATATTAAAATTTAAAGACATAATGTATGTCTAATGTTGCATAGGATGGAAATAGTAATATTTGAAAAGTTCGGCACTCAGAAACCTATAAAATTCTTAGAAACATCAGATAGTGCCAAAATAAGTCATTTACGGTGTGTGGTTTTTACAAGATTGCTAGATGTTTGTCTCATCATTTGCTAGAATGAGTCCGTACAAAACAAGTTCTGTTTAAACCCAGAAAATACAGATAAGCATTTCATTTATATGGAAATTTACCAGTTTAACTCTCAAGCTTAAGTAACTCCTTAAAAAATAATATCACTCATCAATTAAAATTGAGAAGAGCTTTCTTAAATGTGCACTTAAAAAAACCCACTTGGGTTTGCACCTAATTATGTCCCCTGAAGGCACCGATATTTAAAATAGTCTGTTACTCAGGCAGCAACTGATTGATGCAAATCTTAGGTCTTTATTATTGACTCTGACCATCTCAATGAAGATGGAAATGTCTGAACTTTCTGGGAAGGTAGGTAGGAATGTTGTCGCTCTACTTTGTCCGACGGGGCTGCTTCTAGCAGCATCTTGCTCTTGAGTCTGAAATGTGTCCAGGGAGACTGATAAACTGATTTTTAAATTTTATTTCAATTAATTTAAATGTAAATTCATATGTGGCTAACAGCTACCATATTCAACATCGGAAACTATCCAGATGTGCAAAGGGCAGCCGTGAAAATAAAAGAAGCAGCGTTTCTCCATGTGTGATGCTGTCCCAGTCTCACGGCACAAGGACACGCTGTTTTAACCTTTTCCCAAAACTCATGTGACTTCTGTTGTTAGGGTTTTTGCTTAAATTTCCTTTCATTTGGACTAAGGTTGGATGTTGGAGCTTACACTCCACCTTCTCTCATAGTAACATGTGATTAGTTGACCCATAGTACAGATGAAACGCTATGTTGTAGGAAAAGTCTCTTGAACTCTTAACGCTGGAATATTAGAACACTACATATGAATATCTTAGTTTCACAAGGATGAATCCGAAAGAACTTCCAGAGCAAAGGCAGGAAAACCCACACCAGCTGAGGGGGGGCAGCACTGATTTCCTGCAGTGATGACTTGTGAGCAGGGCTGAGCCACTGCACGGCGGCTCTCGGATGCGGCGCTGACCGCGGGGAGCCGGGCGCCCTTGACTTTGCGATGCCAGCTCCATGTGATGACCCAGCTCTCTTCTACTTTGCTCCTTTTAAGCCCCCAAGGAGCCTTAACTCCTGCCCTGGGCTTTGATGGCCTTTGGCCCTCCTTTAGTTTGCATCATTTGTGAATTAACCCCTTCTTTGCCTTTCACACATCTCCTGGCCCATCAGGTGGCACTGCCAGTCTCCTGCCTGAGTGCTGGGGGACTGTCCCGACAGGTCAGAATGAAAATGCAGCATTGGTTTTAAAAAATCAATTGGTTTTTTAAAAAAACTGAAATGTTCAGTTCCCCTAGTGAGAACTGCCCCGTGGATACATAGAGCCCTCATCTGACACACGCTGGTCTGGATAAGGAGGAAGTGACGCTTCCCGAATCACACAGCAGGGAAGGGCACGGGAGGTTCACAGAATACCTTGGAGTTGCGAGTAGATTGTGACTTGGGTAAGGACTCTAAATGATTGGGTTCAAAGGTAGGAGTGTGGTGCACATGACCACCCTGGGTTGGTGGGAAGGGAACTTGGGTAAGGTGGTGAGTTGAGGGACATTGTCACACAGGTACATTCTCAGGGCAAGGCAAGAAACTCATTGGGATTTCCAGGGCAGAGCAGAAAGTGTACTTGCCTGCTTCCCACTGACAGATGGGCACGCATGAGCTGTATTCCCTGGAGCTCAGAGAGGAAGGAGTATGTCATAGCCTTGTGAGAAGGAGAAGAGATTGGTAGAGACATTTACCCTAGTCATTAATTCCTTCATTCACCAAATATTAATTGTGCTTCTATTACTTGTCTGACACCTCTGTGGACATAATAAGCAAGTGGACCCACAAATCAACATACTGAGTTACCACAAGTAGGAAAGAAGTTCTTCATTCCACAAGGAGGGAAAGGACAGGAGACTGGAAGAAAGCTTGCCTGGGAAGAGGGGTATGCAGTGAGATTGAGGAGCAAGGTAAGGGTTCCCTGACTTATTGACGTCAAAGCTCGTACTGAGTTAGGGAAGTCTGAGGGGAAGCATTCCAGGCAGAAGGAAAAGCATGTGCAAAAAATGAGCACTACAGAGGAGCTCGGTGTGTTTGAGTTGCTGGCAAGGTCCATGTGAGTGAGGACCAGAGCCGTGTGGGCACCGCCGGCCACATTAAAGGGTTGGCATCTTATCGCTGGATACCAGTGCAGGCTCCTTATAAGTGCAGTTGCGTTGATGAAGAGGTAGTTTTGATGTTGAATTTCTGCTGCCATTGGAGAACAAATGTGAGGAAAGCAAAGGTAGATATGGAGGAACCCAGGTTAGGAGGGCGTTGCGGTATTCCCGATGCGAGGTGACTGTGCTTTGAACTGGAGTGAGGTGGTGGGGTGTACGACGTAATAGGAGCTGTGGTTTTGACAGCAACACTGCAGGACCTCCCATGGATGGAGAGGAGCTGGAGAGGGAGCAGGTTTCAAGCAGGACTTCACATTTCTGACGTGAGCAGCTGGGGAAGTGAAGGGGCTATTTATAGAGACAGGGAAACTGAGGGAGGAGGTCATTGTGGGAGGTGGGGGTAGTCGAAAATGATATCAGGGCTATGTGGCCAAAGGAAAGGTGTACAGGCCACATTTGTGCCATCTAGGAGGGTGGTGCTTCCTCCAGACTCTGGTCCTGGTTGACCTGGTCTCCTCTACTTGGGATATCAGAATGGTCCCAAGAAGAAAACTTCTTTTTCTCTTCCTCCATCGAATATGTCTTCAGAACATTCAAATGTTGGCAAGTCAATGTGAAATGTGTTTCAGCTGATTTCTCTTATTTATCTTTCAGAATCATCCAGAAGTGTTGAATTTTCGAATACAACTGGGAAGCAAAGAACTGATCATACATCTGGAAAGAAACGAGTAAGTCATGTTAATTCTTGTATACTGTGCCATGGGAGAAAGAAAGGAGCTGTGGGTTCAAAGTGCTGTGTAATCTACATTGGCATTTAGAGAAACAGAATGAAATGCACAGAGTCATAATCCCAATTTGGGCCTGAGGCTGGAATTAACTTGAAAAAAATGAAGTGGAAAATGAAGAATTTTATCACTCTAAAAAAAAGCTTTGTAAATCAGCAGGTTTTTCCTCATAGTTCTGATGTTTCTCATTTCTAGAGCCTGATTTGTCAAGGGTAGAATTCAAGCATCTTCTGTTCAAATAACAGCGTTCCATAATTAGTTGACTTCTGGCAATTCCTGGCTTATATAAGGAGAAATAGCTTCAAATGAATAGAACCTCTTTTTTCCCTGAGAAATACCAAGGGTTTATTTATCTTTCAGAGCTTGTCTCCAGTGGTACAAAGTATTTATTTTATCTTTTTATTTAAAAATTTGACCCTTTTTTTGCAAAATTATATGAATTTCCAAAAATGGTATTATTTTTTTTTTCCTGGAGCAGATGGATATTATTACATATTTTGTATGACTTCCCAGTAGAAAACTGTCTGCTTCAAGGCATAAGGAACACAAGCCCTGTTCTTGTCATCCTTTATACCCTGGCTAGCCCCCTGGGTTCCTTAGACTGAGAGGATGCAATACTATTCTTTCTTATTAGTACCAGAAAAGATCTGTGTGCTTGTAATAAGTAATCTGATTTAAAGATGTAAATGAAGTTACCATGTCCTGCTTGATTTGTAACAGGAGTTTCTATCTTCTAGATAGATAGATAAAACCTCTAGAAATTTCTAAATTCGGAACTACTGGTTCCTATTCCTCACCCATCAGTGACATGCTGACTTTTTCCTGATGTGATCTTGTAGAGAAGAGAGTTTCACTGGAATGAGTTCTGCCCAAGAGAGATGTCACAAAAATCTGACTGTCTCCATGTGGACAAGTCAGATCACATGTGGTATCCGCGCTTTGATTGGAGGGCCCCAAGCAAGTCAGATCAATGAGATCATCATGGCCAGTTCTCACATTCAGTTTCTAACACTGCGGCCAACAACAATTTTTAAAAAAACAGATCCATATCAATATATACATTTAAAAAAATAAATACACTGAACATGAATGTATGTAAAATAGGACGGCAGCCTGCCTCTTCGTATATCTTGTATGTTTACCCCCCACCATTAAACGGATTGAAAGCTTTTTTAAGCAATAAATGATGTGTTTTTAGCTTTCCTCATGCCTTGATAGTCTTAAAGTAGAGGTTTCGGGTGCCCGTTTTGAATGAACAGGGAACTGAACAGAAACTTCTATGTTGCCTTTGGTATGTCTCTCTCAGCCAAGTAAATATATTCATGTTATTTTTTTGTTGTTCATGTAAGAAGACTGTGGGACATTTTAATTTTTGTGGACTGCTATTTGCATGTGGTTTTGAAATATCTCAACAGACGAAACTGGATATTTCCTGAATGATCAAAAAGGACTAGGGTTTCTGGTGGAGATGCATGGCCTTGATGGCGCTTTAGGATTGCTGCTGGATTCGGGCGTCCGCTCCTTTTGTCAGAGTGTTGGGGGACGTGTTAGACAGCAGGAATGATGCCAATTCCAGACCCACAGATGGTAGTCGGACAGCAGGTAGAAGGATGGAAATCAACTTAACAAAAACCTTAATCTACTTGTTTCTACTCTAAAAGGAATACATGTCCAGTGCAGAAAATTGAAAATTGTAGGGGAAAAAAAATCAAAGAGCCAAAAGAAAATACTTCTATTACCAAACAACATCCTGATGAATATTTTAGTTGTGGTCCAAGGTCATGTTTTCCTTACAAGTAAGCTTTGCTTTTTTTTGTCTTCCTAGTGGATATTGGGTCTGTGCATTTGATAACCTGCTTCTTCACTTAGCTTTATACTGGACATGCTTTTCCTTATAGAAATGCAGCTCTTAGCGCCCTTCTGGTTCTCTGAGTCTCTGAAGTGGCTCAGTAGTCTCATTCCTGGTTCTTTTGAAAATGGTTTCCTGTCTACTAAGGCAGATAGTGTAATACACAATGACAAATAGTCATTCGACCGTGGCTCATCTGTATAAAAGATCATTTTACAAGGTTAAAAGGTGCCTTAATTTGCTCACTTCCAATTCTGGGCCTTTCACAATATAATCTCAAAATTAGAAAAGTCAAAAACATAAAGCTATCTCTTCTCAATTCATATCTATCTTCCCAACCTCACTGTCAACCTTCATGTTAGAAATTGTATGGAGAGTGTTTGATATGATCCTATGACGTTCCGTGGCTTTATTTCAATTATACTACTTATACCAGTTGTAGAGATTCTACCCTGCTAAGAATAACATTTTCATAATTAGAGCATGCCAATATTACTATTTTAATGTTGCACTTCCCCAAAATACTTGAACATAAAATGTTTTTTTGAAAAAAATTACCTGTCTGTTCCATACGGCTTTACTTTGGAGACCGTGAATACCAGAACTCTGGAGCTTTACGGGGAAAGTGAAATGCTCATGCGCTACCAGCTCTTGATGCTGTCAAACACAAAATATCATCCATTGTCCAGGAGAAAGTAGAATTTTTAATTCATATAGCTTTTGGCCCAATAGATCCAATTAGAGAATTTATTCAAATAAAGGTATTAGAACTCAAATGTTCAAGCAAGATGAATGTGAATATTTAACCAGCACAGTAGAGATCTTGGCTAACCAGAAGGTAACCTGTGGGTGCCCTACATCATGGCTGCAGGTCCTGTGTTCAGGGATGTTCACCGCAGAGTATTTTACCTAAATCGATAGGAGATTGATTAAATTATGACTTAACAATATAGAGCCAATAGAGCTCTATTTCACAATTAGAGGAGATGATGGTATCTTCATCACTGTGAAAAGCACTCATGATATAATCAATGTAAGCGGCATGTTAGATAATATTTTACACAACATTGAGTTTTTATTTCAAAATTATATACATATATGTGTATCTCTGACTAGTAAGATTATGGAAGACATTCATTCATGTTTTAGAGCAAGAAAATATTACTGTTGAGATTAGGAAAACTTTTAACACTGAAGCAAAAAAAATCTGTAAAAACTTAAAAATCATTGAAAAGAAGGATATTGGAGTATTTATTATTCATAAAAAGCAAATGTGTTTTAGAAGGACCTCCACCAACTTTCAGAGGGCTAAAAAGCTCTGCGCATTGAATACTGGGTCTTTAAATATCCAGAAATCTGTTTTAATTAAAAACCTGCTTGGAGATCATAACCAAAATAAAGGTGGCCTCATTGCCTTAAATCATAGGAGCCATAATCCAAAGTTAATGCTGGAAGAGAGTCACCTAATTAACCCTGCTCAAAAACTTATCACATACACCAATTCTTCTTGAAGCTGGACGGAATTTGTATTAAACAGTTGTTTCAGGGGGCTTTCTTCTATTTGCCTCCGAGCATCCCTAATTTGTGCAAAGATCGGATGCTGTTCACTTAAAATCTGTGTTTGTATAGTCATAATTGAATGTTTAAAGAGACTCAAAGCTTCCCTGGAGAAAAATTTTTCACAGTGTTGCTGTCTGCCTACGGAACTGCAGGGACCGCTTTATGACTTCCATAACTCTCCTGGATCCCCGTGGGCTCTCAGGCCATCCCTCAAACAGGTGCTCTGTGCAATTGCATCTTTGATCAAAATGCTTTATTAGACAGGCTGGCCAGCTTAGACATCCGTTTTTCCAGTTTAGGATAATTAGAAGTGATGGCAGTAGATCACACCCCCCACATCTCTCAAACCCACCGAGCTTTCTGTTTTCCAGCCTTGGCCCATCACTGACAGAAGGCAGAGGTTGGGGGAGGTCTATGGCCCGCTGAATTTATATTTGCTGGGTCTCTGCATTGGAAGAAGTCAGGCGTTGGCTTTTATTCTGTCTGGGATAATTCCAGACATCTCTGAAGGGACAAATCTAATTAATATTCGCTCAATCGGTAGCAGAAAGGACATTTTAAATTGGTCAGATGTGGGCGTCAATATCTGGGAGGGTGTTTATTTGATGACATCTCTTGGAGTATGGTGATGCATGAGGGAAGATGTAGCTGATGCAGAGATCGTGCTGGCTAGGTTAGGGCTCAGCCGAGTAACCACCCAGAGGATATGAGTCTCTTGTTTGTGTTGACCCAGACTGTGCTGGACAACTGGACTGAGATGCAGTCATCAGCCCTAGGGCTATGTACAAGGCCTCGTTATGGTCCACAATTTCCAGAGCCCTCTTTATAAAGACATAAAATGTGCACTGATCACACTTCTTGGCAATGCAGCGCTGGAGGGGGTAACTTGTCTGCATCTCAGGATCTGGATTAGAGAGATTTCAGCAGTCTGGATCAATGGGCCAAGACTAACAAGATGAGATTTAATGGGGATAAATGTAAAGTCCTATGCTTGGGTTAACAGAAAATAAATGTAAACTCAGAAAGAAATTTCCTTGTAGTTCTCATGAATGGGACCCACAAACTCAACATGAGCCCCTGAGGTGGTGCAGCTGCTAAGGTGACTGTCAACAGTGTGTGTGCATGAGTGCCCATGGCCCTAAACGGAAGTGGCTGGCATCAGGCTGTGTAGTGACCCTGTCGGGCCATATCCAGAATATTCCCCCTGTGCTGCTGCACACACAGTCCTGGAGAGCTGCTTGCCATGGTTCTCATTCCCACCATTGGACTTCCCTTCCCTCTCCCACCAACAAGAGATGCCCCTAAGCCCAGGGCAAGGGTCTCAACTTGCCCTCCACCCACTTCCCCGGGTCTGGCTGGTAGTTGGCCCTCAATGAGCACTTACCATATGAGTGAATGATGGAATGAGGACAGCCTGGACCCAACCAGAAGTGAGTCACCAGGAGGTTGAAGGTGTGTCTTGGGTGGTGTGAGACACTAATTGTTCAAGGAGAAAGCTTAACTCCGAAATGGGGCTTCAAAACCCAGCTTTGCT